ACACGCTGACCAGCATGGCTAACTTGGCGTCGACGTACTGGAACCAGGGCCGATGGGATGAGGCAGAGACGCTTCAGGTGCAGGTGATGAAGATAAGCAAGACCAAGCTTGGGGAGGACCATCCGTCGATGCTGACTATCCTGGCCAACTTGGCGTCGACATACTGGAACCAGGGCCGATGGGATGAGGCCGAGAGGCTTGAGGTGCAGGTGATGGAGACTCGCAAGACGAGACTTGGGGTGGACCACCCCTCTACGCTGACCAGCATGCATAATCTGGCGTATACCGTCAAAAGTCTTGGCCGTCGTTGCGAGGCGCTTGATTTAATGACATGCTGCGCTTCTCTTCGCGAGCGTGTTCTTGGCTCACAACATCCCGACACTAAGTCTTCCAAGGAAGCAACAGAATTGTGGCAGCAAGATGATTGATATGATTTTGACCGATATTATTATATCTTTAAGCGCTTGTGTTGGAAGGTTTCCACTTCAGTGGGGCTATAGTATATATAAAGACTCTATAGCCAGCTAGCCTTTAGGTGCAGTCGGCCGATCGAAGTTTGCTTGATTATTCACACTAAGACAAATTACTTACGATAACTAAAAAACAATAAGACTTAATTGTATTATATGATGGGTAAAATAAAAATAAAAGTCCAAATATTTCATCTAAAGCTTTCTATAATGATTTTTATAGATGATAATTAATAACACATTTACAGTCTTTTCTCAAAATATCTACCTTTTAAGTTTTTTTCCTTCAAATAAAATAAGTATTATTAATAATAGGATGCTAAAAAGACTTATTATATTAGTTATTTAGGAATTAGTATAGGAATCATCAATGTTGTTCTATTATTTACATTGGCAGAGATACTAATGTGACGAGCGCCTCTGCCGTCAGGCCAAGGGGCAAAAGATCAGGGCATTGAGAGCAATTCTAGCACTCAATGTAGGCGTAATAGCGTCTAAATAGCGTAGAGCACGGCCACGGCCTGTGGTTTTTGGAACTAACTACTGAAAATTGTGTTTCAATTTTAGAGGCCCCGAGCGAAACTTGCATCGCCCCACTATATATTTGCACTAGGAAGCCTCATATGTGGGTTCACAACGATAGGCAAGGCTCCACGAATAGATAATACATCGAGGCGGAAGAAATCGTACCCATCACAGGCACGTACCCATCACAGGCAGTCATGTAAAACAGGGCTCATTGTCCACAAGCGAGAGACATTAGTCTATGAACTACGATGTATTTTACAAGTACAAGCAGCTAGATCACACCTTGGTGACGGCCCTAGCAGTTTTCTTTTGCTGCCGTCCTCTGCGCGCCTAGGTATTATTCGCAGCCAAGGTTGCACACCACTCAACTCAA